CTTGGAGTGCAACTAGCTGGTCAACGGGGGACGATTGCTTGCCTTTTGACCTGCTAGTGCGCTCCTTATATACTCCAAAACCCCTATCTACGCTTTTACATGTGTNTTCTACGGTTATATATCGGTCCGAAATACAAATAGCTTTTAATGATTGTGTGGTATAGTTTGTAGTGTCTCTCTTGTGGTACACTACAGACTTTGTAGTGTTAGTATCTTTTCTTTGTCAACGCATCAGTGTTTGATGCGTACGTGGAACAATCCGGTTTTAATTATATCTAGTCCGGACCGGTTCCGCATGCTTCTTTATCATGGTCTCGGCTACTAATTTGACATATCGTGTCATTTCAGTGATGGGCGTGCTGATGCGTGTGATACGTATGCAGACACACTGCCGGCTTCTTTATTTCCGGAGGTCGTTAATTTAAAATACCTTGGCACGGTTTCTGTATCATATGGAGATCGGATGGCACTCCGAAGAGCTTCAAATGACTTTCTTAATTATCAGGGGGGTTTCCAGGATGGATTACCTAATGTCTTTCCAGGTGTGCGCATCACACGTCTTGGACGATACGACGCATCACTCTTTGATGCGTACGCGGGAATTGCCGTACTCGACGTTCTACATGGCCACAAGCCACGCTTGGTCTCAGTACATATGCCACATAGTTGTAACATAGTCTCTCTAGTAGTAGAACATTATCTCATAATGTCCACATGTAGTTTATCCTCTAGAAGTCTTGGTAGATTTATCACAAGATAAAAGACCGAGTTTTTCATATTAAAATCCATTTCGTGTTTCTAAACCCTTGGTAGTAATGCAATCTTGTTCCCTGCGTTGGGTGGTTTACTCTAGAGTCTCTTTGTACTCTATTTCATGGTGGGTGAATCCTAGTAGGCTCCAAGTATAATGTCACGGCGCATACTGCTGCCAGCTCCAAAGCCTTTGTCCTATGTTCAGACTCAACGCATGTGCACTTTTAGTCTACTGAACCGGGTATGTTCATAGACTCTTTATATCATTACAACTGTATGTAGTATAGTTGCAGAGAAGACCGTTTAATGGTAAAATCGCGAAAATCGGATTTTATACGGTTGAACACGTTTCACCCGTATCATCGTCCGTGCATGGGCATCGTTATAGATGGGGGGCTCATTGTCATCTGTGTTGTCCATGGGTGCTCGTCGTTTGTGGGTGGTGGCGGAAGGGGTGATGGTGTGGTTGTGGTTGCTTGTCGTGGGGTCCCGTTCATTGTCGAAAAAGTCACCGTCGACATGGCATACCCAGATGGGCATGCCAAGTCAGCAGTTTGGTGGTGGCGCCATTTGTTGGGTGCCACCACCGTTACTGTTCTTCACTGTCGGAGTCAGTGTCGGTGGGTGGGCTGTCGTGGTGGTGTGTGGTGGTGGGGTTGTTGTCCCTCGTCATGGGGTCCTGGACGTTCATCATCGAGAAAATCACCGTCGACGCGGCACACCCAGATGGGTGTGCTGCGACTGGTGGGTACCACTTTTATCATATAAATAAGGTAACTGCCTAGAGCTCCCTGTGTATAAGTCCACAGTCTTTATGATAGGAATCATTCCAGTTACCATGTCTATTCATTAGGCGATTTTCATTAGTTATCTGGGCGATATCATGGTGATTTTCATTATTTATCTGGCCGATATCATTGCAATTTTCATTAGAAACCTGGGCAATATCATTGGAAATTTCATTAGCTACTTGGTCAATATCATTGTGATTTTCATTAGTTATCTGGCTGATATCATTGTGATTTTCATTAGATACCTGGGCGATATCATTGGAAATTTCATTAGC